CACCCCAACCAGAGTGGAAAACATCATTCGTGGAGCAGCAGATAGAGAACTCAGAAGGGCTTCGCCTCAGGAATAAGGCTAAATCAGTCCTAGATTAAAGCGTTGCTCTGATTCCACCTAAGAAAGCTTCCAAGCAAAACTCAATAGGATCAAGACTCAGTAGGATGAAACTCTTTCAAAGAAACTTAATTGCATCCCAGAACAAAGTTCAAAATGTATATAGGAATACAAAAATAGATAGCACCCAACAAGATACAATTCACAAGGTCTGTCATCCAGTAAAATACCAGGAATGCATAATTGTCCTCTATTTTCCTGGAGCAACAGAGGAAGAAGGAGAGTCAGAAGCTGGAGGAGGAAATGGAATATGTGAGTAATTACCTCCATGAACTACTGCCTACTCTGCCATGAGACCAGAAGTGGGTGTTGCCGGCTATCAATATTGAATGTTTTGAGCAAAGATTCTATATAGAAGAATCCTGATCAAAGGTAGGAGAATAGAGAACAGAGTTTCAGATTTTCATGGAATCCACACTTTCTGGAGCCATGGAGGTGGTATGAATTCCTGAAATTATTGCCCTGAGATAATCTTTAAAACTCAAACCAAAAATATTCCCTGAAGTCTTCTGTAAACCAAATGATAGTTTAGCCGAACTAGGAAAGAATGTCTGTCTTGAGTATTGTGCTCTTTTAAGAACTATGTATGTGGGATCAAATTGACAACAACTCAGGATTAGATAGGAAACTTAGGGGGCAATGAGTTTATGTTAATGGGAGAGGAACAGCTCAGAAAAGGAGGGTGAGAAAGGTTGCACAACCTGAAGAATGTAATCAGTGTCACTGAATTGTACATGGAGAAATTGTTGAATTGGTGTATGTTCTGCTGTGTATACTCTCAATAACAAAAAAATTATCAAGAATGCAAAACAGAATATGATTTATAATGAGAGAAGTCAATTGAAACCAATCCATAAATTACACAGATGGTAAAATCAGTGGCTAAAAACATGTTTAAGAAGCCGAAGAAAAGATTGAATATATTGAGTAGAGACTACATATAAAAAAGACCCAAACTGAACAAAAGCCTATATACAGCCGACTTCTCATTGGAAACAATGCAGTCCAGAGGTCAATGGAGCCTTATCTTTAAAGTACTGAAAGAGAACATTACAATAGTATACCCAGTGAAAATAAGTCCTAAAAACAAAAGTGAAATAAGGACTTTTTCAGACACACAAAAGGTGAAATAATTTATGTCCAACAGACCACCACTATAAGAAATAATAAAGAAAGTGTTTTAGGGAGGGGGAAGATGATCCCAGTTGGAAATCTGGATCTATGCAAAAGAATGAAGAGCAGTGAAAATGGTATTTATGGTAGGTAAATATAAATGACATTTTCATTTTATTTTTAATTTCTTTAAATGTTACTTGGCTGTTTAAAGCAAAAATAATGTATTTTGGGGTTAATAATATATAAAAGTAAAAGGTATGACAGGACTAACATAAAAGCTTAGAAGAACAGAAATGTAGGAGGTAGAGTAATGGCCCCCGGAGATATCAGTCCTTAATCCCTGGAACCTGTAAATGTTACCTCATAAGGAAAAAGGATCTTTGCAGATATGATTAACTTAAGAGTCTTGAGATGGAGAGATTATCCTGGACTATCTGGGTAGGCCCTAAATGCAATCATATGTATCTGTGTAAGAGGGAGGCAGAGGGAGACATCACACACACACAGCGAGCAAGCAAGAGAGAGAGAGACGGTAACATGAAGATGGAGCAGAGAGAGATTTGAAGATGCTGGCCTTGAAGGCTGATGTGACCACAAGCCAAGGAACACTGGCAGCCACCGGAACTGGAAGAGGCAAGGAAAAAATTCTCCCCAACAGCCTCCGGAGGGACCACAGCCCTGCTAACACCTTGATTTTGAACTTCTGGCCTCAAGAACTACGAGAGAATACGTTTCTGTTCTTTTAAGCCACCAAGTTTGTGATAATTTTTTACAACAGCCATAGGAAACTAATACAATACTGTTGTTAGTTATGCTAGATGTGAAGTGGATTATGATAATTTAAAGTTATATACCATGAACACTCAACAAGTAAAAAATACGACAGTTATAATTAATAAACCATAAAAGGAGATAAAGTGGCCTCATAAAAATATTCAACCTAGAAGAAACCAGAAGAAGGGGGAAGGGAGAACAAGAGCATGGAAAAACAGGAAACAGCGTGGCGGTGTTTAATCATGCAGTTACGACGTGGAAAGAAAAGGCAGAGGTTTTCATACCAGACGAAAAGCGGGGCCCAGTATACGCTGCCTGCAAGAAACTCATTTTAAATATAAAGACACAAATAGGCTAAAAGGAAAGGAATGGAAAGAGATTTACCATACTAACACTAATCAAAAGAAAGCTAAAACTAGTTGTTTCTGAGTTGATTCTGACTCATGGAGACTCCATATGTGTCAGAGTAGAACTGTGCTCCATAGGGTTTTCGGTGGCTAATTTTTTGGTAGGTGAATCACCAGGCCTTTCTCCCAAGGTGCCTCTGGCTGGACACAAACAGCCAGCCTTTTGGTTAGCAGCTGAGTGCTTACCTTCTTGTGCCACCCGAGGATGTTAAAGCTAGAGTGGTTATGTTAATGTCAGACAGTGAATTTCAGAGCAGTATTACCAGGGGTCAGGATGCTCATTTCCTGATGATAAAGGAATTAGTTCAGCAAGTGGACATAACAATGTTAAATATTTATGCACCTAACTACAGAGCTTGAAAAATACATGAAGTAAAACCTGATAGAACTGCAAGGAAAAATAGACAAATCCACAGTTAAAACTGGAGATTTCAACAGCCCTCTCTCAGTAATTTCTAGAACACATAGACATAAAATCTGGATATAGAAGATTTGAACACACTCAGCCATCTTGACCCGATTGACATTTATAGAATACTCCACCCAAGAACAGCAGAACACACGTTCTTTTCAAGTGCTCACAGAATGTGTACTAAGATAGACCATGTGTTGAGCCTTGAAAAAAAGTCTCGATAGCACTGAGTGCCTAATTTAGAAAAGAAGAAAGGTCTCAAATCAATGACTTCAACTCCCACCTTAGAAACTGGAAAAAGAAGAGCAAGAGAAACCCAAAGAAATCAGAAAACTGGGCATAGGAAAGAAAAGAACAGACGTCAGTGACCTTGCTGTTAGGTGCCCTTGAGTCAGTTCCGACTCATAGCAACCTCATGTACAACAGGACGAAACACTGCCCGGTCCTGCGCCATCCTCACGATCGTTATGCTTGAGCCCATTGTTGCAGCCACCATGTCAGTCCATCTCATTGAGGGTCTTCCTCTTTTTTGCTGACCCTCTCTTTATCAAGCACGATACCCTTCTCCAGGGACTGGTCCCTCTTGATAACATGCCCAAAGTACATCAGACGAAGTCTTGCTGTCCCTGCTTCTAAGGAGCATTCCTTCTGTACTTCTTCTAAGACAGGTGTGTTTGTTCTTCTAGCGGTCCATGGGATATTCATTACTCTTTGCCAGCACCGTAATTCGAAGGTGTCAGTTCTTCTTCAGTCTTCCATATTCGTTGTCTAGCTTTCGCATGCTGGTAAGGCTGTTGAAAATACCATGGCTTGGGTCAGGGCACCTTAGTCTTCAAAGTGACATTAGTGAACTAGAAAACAGGAAAACATATAGGAAATCAATAAAACTGAAAGGTGGTTCTTTGAGAATGTCAATAAAATTGATAAACCTTTAGCCAGGCTGCTCAGGAATAAAAGAGCGAAGGTACAAATTACCAGCATCAGGAATGAGGAAGATGACATCACTATAGATTCTATAGCTATTCAAAGGACCATAAGGGGATATTATGAACAACTCTATGCCAATAAATTGGTAGCATAGGTGAGATGGACAACTTCCTTGAGAAACTAACTCCCAAAGCCCTCTAAGGGAGAAATAGACAACCTGATTAGCTCTGTATCAGTTCTATTAGATTTAAATTTAAAAACTGACGCTTTAATTGGTTATTGGAGAACTTTTAAGTATGATTGGAAATCATATGTGAACCTACTTCTTCAGCTGTAAATTTTATGAAGTCTAAATACAGATAAAGTCTTTCTGATGGAAATTTTGTGTCTGAATTGAGATGTGCTGTAAAAAAGATTGTTAATGTATCTCGATGATTTCTTCATGTTGATTACATGTTGATACTATTTTGGATATATTGAGTTAAATGAAAGGAGCCCTGGTGGCTCAGGGGTTCAGTGCTCGGCTGCTAACTGAAAGGTCGGCAGTTCAAATCCACCAGGAGCTCCTTGGAAACCCTCTGGGGCAGTTCTGCTCTGTCCTATAGGGTCACTGTGAGTCGGAATCCACTCGACAGCAATGGGCCATAGTGTATCTAGAGCAGCAAAAGCCTAGCCACCACCTTTATGCTGAGTGTGAGATCTGGTGATGCTTCTGAACCGACCGAGAGCAAGATTAAAAAGGAATAAAAATGTTCAACTCTATACTGATTTCCAGGGTTCTAAGAATATTGTAAGTAAGAGTAAAAGCAACCTGTTAGCAGCGAGCAGGTGGCTGAGATTTAAGTATCTGAAGCGGTGTCTTCAGGTTTTCAGTGAAAACTTAAACCAAAAACATGAGATGTGCCTTGCGAATACAACCTCCTCTTCTTCTTTTTCTAATAAACGTCTAATTGTAGAGCAGTTTTAGATTCACAGAATAATCGTGAAGTACTATAGACAGTTCCCATGTGGCGTGTGCTCAGTTTTCCTATTATTAGTGTCTTACGTGGGAGTGGTACATGTCTCCATCAGTGAACTACTGTCGATAGGTGATCACTGACTAAAGCCCAGGATGAGTTCAGGTCTCCTTGGTTTTTTCCTAATGTCATTTTTCTGTTTCAGAATCCCACATTACATTACATTACATGTCTCCTTAGGCTCCTCTTGACTGCGACAATTTATCTCTCTCTCTCTTTTTTTAAATTTAGAAATTCTCCAGAATTTCAGAAACTTCTGGGCATCGCTATGGAACTCTTTCTGCTGTGCAGTGATGATGCGGAGTCTGATGTCCGGATGGTGGCCGATGAATGCCTCAACAAAGTTATAAAAGTAAGAACCGTGTAGACCGTGTTCTTCTCTGAAGCTGTAATCCTTCTAGGCTAGGAGAAGAAGCTGTCATCTAGCATTGTTTTATTTCTAGGAGCAAAGTCCCTTAATGGAAAAGCCACTGTTTAAATTTATGGCGTGTGGTTTGGAGGGCTCTGGTATCTGCCAGCGTGCTCGAGGGCCTCTGGGTGCTTTGGGGAAACCATCCCTACAGGCACCAACTGAGAAGCCCTGGAAAGCAGGGGGCTGAGTGTGTGTCTCCAGTCTCTCTTTCTTCATCTCCTTTCACTGCCCCTCCTAAGGCCTGGCTCAGGCAGTACTGCTTGCAGGCAAAGATGTGACTTCTTCACGTAGTAGGTTAGCTGGAGTTAGCGTGAAGCGAAGGGGAGAAAGGAGATCCCAGGAAAGGATAATGAAGCCAGAAAGCCAAAGGCACTTGGGTAGTGGGGACGGGCGAGGTCAGGAGGGAGATGGGGATACTCGTGCTGTTATTACTTCCTGATTCAGAATGTGTGCCCAAGGCCATCATAACTTTTATCCCTTTTTCTGTCTTCTGCTGCTTTAGACTGAGATCGTGAAACAGTCCTTCTTCTGCTTTAGACTGCGATCGTGAAACAGTCCTTCTTCCGCACGCTATTTCTTAACATAGTGGAAGACTATCCTTGTCGCCGTTTTGTCCCCCTCCTAGCTGGAGTCCTGGTTTGAGTCCCATCCCTTCCTGGTCACCTGCTAGAGCACCAGCGAGTTTGTGATTGGGTCTTTTGATGGGTGTCCAGTCTTAAATACTGTTCTCGTTGTAGGCTGACCAGCGCTGAGGAAGGCTCTCTGACCTAGTTCTGGCCACTTTCCGCAAAGACAATTTCTTGATAATGCTTGAGGAGAAAATGTGTCTCGTTCTTTGCTCTATAGGGATCCTTATTTGTTGAGTCTTTCCAGTTTTTCTTATTTTCCCTACTACTTTGAGTCCCAACCCTGAAAGATAAGGCTTTGAAAAGAGGTTACGTCTCTTCATTTCCCTTGAAGGCTTTTCCTGGTAACAGTTATCTGGGCACAGGAACCAAGAACTCCAACCTCTGTCGCATGATTATTTCCCTTCATCATTACAATCTTGAAGACCACAACTGTTCTTTGGACTCTTCTCAAGGTCTTTGTTTGGAGAGTGGTCAGGTTTTATATTGGTCAGGAAACAAGCTGTCCCTTTTCTTTCACGTGTCCAGCCTTCCTCAGGAAGGTGACCACCCTTTTACCCTAGTTTAAGGAGATTTGAGTTGACATTGCCAGGCAGAGAGTGTACATATTTTGGAGTGAGAGAACCCTGTGTTTGCATCTTGCCTCTGCCGCTTACTAGCTGAACAACTTTGTGAAATGTATGTAATTTTTGTGAGCCTCAGTTTTCTGAGCTGTAAAATGGGAACAGACAGAGTTTTGTGGTTTGTGTTTAAGAACATGTGTGACAATGAAATGCAGTCACATATGTGACGTGCTAAGCATCATCCTGGCCACATACTGGATCCTGCAAGTGGTAAGAAGTGTTCTCATTAATAACGAGGTTCTTATGTTCTTACCCAGAGAGATGGAGGTCCCCAGCGAGTGCCGGCAGCTCTCCACCTTCTGTGGTACGGATTCCATGGTATTCAGTTGCCCAGGGAGTCTTGCCCACCTGTCTGGCAGACTGTTTCCTAGCTAGCCATGCCTTCTGTGGTCGCGGCGCCGGCTTCTCTGTAGCCTTGAGGGTTCTCACTCCCCCTTTCCCCTCTGAAGGAAAGTGACTTTGTTTGCATTTCATGCTTTGCTTGCAGCTGACCTGCCACAGTTATAGCCTGGCTGGAGTCAGTCCACCCCATTCTCCGTGCCGGGTGGCCCGTCTTAATGCTCTCCTGTGGAAGCCCCACAGCACACTTGCAGAGGCCTGCTCTCAGTTAACGGCTTCTCTGCAGGCCCAAGTATCCTGGCTTGTGTTACTCCCGCTGGCGGGACCGGGCTGGGCTTTTCCTGCTCTCTCAGTTGTTGAACTTGGACCCTCAGAATCAGCAAACCTAGAGAGGCTCATCCCAGGTTGCCTTCTTCACGGCAGGAGGGGAGTCCAAAGGACAGAAATGCGGCCAAACGCGGCACTCACCTTGGTCACGTTACAGCTGGGCGTCGTTCGTTTTCAAGCCTGTCCTCTCGAGAGCCCTGTTTCCAAGAACTGCCGCACAGAAGAGCTGGGTGGGTGTTTGGGGACTGTGGGCCCTGGGCCCCGGGGCACGGTTTAGGTGCTGGGACCTCCTCCCGGCTCTCTCCCAACCTCTCCCCGTTTCTTCTTCTTTGTCTCCTGTCTCTGCACGCAGAGATTTCGGTTCTTATGTTCTGCCGCTGAACGCGAGGTAAGGCCAGTCTCTCTCAGACTCTTTTCTGCTGAAAGTTCGGCGTAGTGGGGTCAGGCTGTCCCCAGTGTCCTGCTGCCTGAGGTGCTGTGGTAGTCAGGTCCAGCAGGCTGGGAGTAGGGATGAGGGTCTGCCAGGTGTCCCCCGCAGTGAGGAAAGGAGGGGCATGGAACAGAGGGATGGAGTCAGAGAGGGTCTCAGCATGGCCATGTGGAAGGGGTGGCAGGAACAGCCCTTTGAGATTAGGTTGTGGACTCTTGTCTTCTGGTGGGTATTGCTGTCTGTGTGCGACGAGGACTGGGCCCCATGTAGCCCAAGAACGGAGTGCACAGTTTGCGTTACGTTTCTGCAGAAAATGCTCTGAGGACCTGACACACAGCCCGGCCTCAGGTAGTTCATGGCCCGGCGATGGGGCCCAGCCCGTGGTGTGCCTTGTACTGCAGGCTGTCACGGCAGCCGAGGACGGGCGCTTCTGTCTTGGCAGGCAGAGAAGGTGTCTTGGGGGCGGAAGGTACTACGTGAAAGAGGAGCCCTCCTTACATTGCAGCATCCGCCTCTGGGGGCCACCAGGAAGCGCTGGAGACTGCGAGCAAGAGGAGGGGGGCTGCTGGTCTGCCGCCTGAGAGTGGAAGGCCTGAAGGCCAGCTCAGGGAGCCCCGAGGGCCAGCTCAGGGAGCCCCGAGGGCCAGCTCAGGGAGCCCTTGAAGGTCTCTGACGTGGTCAGCGGGGGCTTTATTTAGGAGAAGCACCCTGGTGACGAGGTGTGGATGGCCTGGAGTGGAGAAAGACTGGACGTACAAGAATCCATCCATTTGGGGCCCGAGTTGTCCAGGAAAGAGGGAGTGGAGTCTTGAGAAGTAGGACGGTGGCACTGGGACAGTGAGCTAGGAGGCAGACGTGGGCTCCACTTGGCAGCTGAGCACGTGTCTCCGTGTGGAGGACGGGGGAGCCAGGTGCTATGCCCACACCACCCAGTTGCTGGGATGCTTTAAAGCTCCTTCCTTGCTCTTATCAGGGGTTTGAGTGTTAGCTTCTCTTGTTGTGAAATAAGTTTGGTATTAGTTTACAAGTCAGACTTTGACGTGGCTTCTGATTGTGTTTGAAACACAGTGTTTTACTATGTTTGTCCAGTTTGGTTTGCTCGTTTGAGGACTTCTAGTACATTCAAACTGAGACAGTAGAATTAAGATTTAAAAATTTCTAAGACATTATTATACTTCAGAGCCTCCCAAAATGTGACTCTGCTGTAGATTTTCAAGCTTGCTGGACCAGTAGTGGACCCACCTGAGTCTCCTCAGACCAGCTTGATTCTTAGACATCAGATGCTGCCCATCACAGTGGCAGGAGGGCTTTCCCTTGAGGCTTGATTGCATCTTTCCTCTCTGGTGGGCCTGCCATTTGCAAGACCATTTTAGAAGAGAGAGTTTATGTGTGAGAGAGTGGTGCACGGAAATCTTCTGTCTTCCTTCCAACTTGAGAAGCCCTTCTCTACTGTGGCCTGTGTGCAGCTGGGTATGGTTGCTGTTAGCCATTCATGTTGGCTTGCAGCTGCCCATGTGGTCAGTCTTTTTGGTTAGGCCTGTGAGTGAGTAGGGAGGGGGATGAGAGATGGGCTTTGAGGAACATGATGCCCCTAACGGGCAGCGAGATCTGAGGGTCCTGGAGCCATGGGGCTGTGAGCATCCTTGCCAATGAGGAGAGGCCAGGCCTTCAGAAAGGACTTGGGATTCTACATCAAGAAGTGTTCCCAGGACGGGGGTGGAGGGGCACGCTGATCTTGGAAGACCACCCACAGCTCCTGTGGACACCACAGACTTACCAGGCCATTGTCTGCTATAGTGCCACCCAGCAGAGTAAACTTCTAACGAAGAAGGCTTAATCACGAAAGGTTTACTGAAGAGCATTAGAATTAATTTAAATTATCTACCATCTTAATGTTGATATTATGTACTACTTGATTATAATAAAAGTTAAATTCTCTTGTTTCTGTATTTTATTCAAATGATTGACTTGTATCTAGTTCATACAGTAGCTTCCTGCGTGTGTGTTCTTCTTTCTTTCCTAATGAATAGGCTCTTAGTGTGGTTGCTGTTATATTTTACTTCGCCCCAACGGTGAGTTGCCTTTTCGTTTTCTTTAGAACTGCTAATGCAATGTGTTTTCCACAGACCAATCTCTTGTATTTTGTTACAGGCTTTGATGGATTCTAACCTCCCGAGGTTGCAGTTAGAGCTCTATAAGGAAATTAAAAAGGTAGGCTTGTATTTTCCATGGTTGGAAAAAATGGTAGTTTTACCATGTTGAGTAGCATGGGTGAAATTTTGTCTTTATTTAATAAGTAAAAAATGTAAGGAAGAAATGCTGTTAGGTAAAGTAGGCTTGTTTTATTTTTCTTCAAAAGATTACTATTTCATTTTTATTAGATGGGGTGGAGATTAAAAATAGTAACTTGTTTTATTCTTTATATCTTTATAATTGAAGCCCACTAGACCTTAACATCTCTAAAGTTGTTATCAGTTGTTCTGTACATTGAAATGGCCTTTTCCCTAAGAATAGACACTAGCAATGTAAGAAAACGCTTTGGCTTCTGTGTCATCCCCTTGGTGACCAGTGTCTGCAGCTCTGACGCTGTAACACGTCATTAAATCCCCTCAGAACGGTGCTCCTCGAAGTCTGCGCGCTGCCCTCTGGAGGTTTGCGGAGCTGGCTCACCTGGTTCGGCCGCAGAAATGCAGGTAAGTGGCCGTCCTCTGGAGTTTCTCAGTGCCCAACTGCCTCACTCCACTTACCGTCCACGTTGCCTCGTTCATCCTTCCTTCCCAGCACCTCTGCCTGTCAGGAGTCTCCCTGGAGACCTCTAGGCTGTAAGCGTCAGGGCGGCAGGGACCTTACCTGTCTGTTCTCTGAGGCAGCCCAACCTGATAACAGTGTCTGGCACATAAACCCAAAAACCCATTGCTGTTGAGTCAGTTCTGACTCATAGCGACCCTTTAGGATAGAGTAGAACTGCCTCAGAGGGTTTCCAGGGAGCAGCTGGTGGATTTGAACTGCTGACCTTTTTTTAGCAGCCGAGCTCTTAACCACTGCACCACCAGGGCTCCCCGTCTGGCACGTAGATACTTGTCAGATGGTTGAAGGTTGACGTGCCGGCTTCATTATTGCTTATTATAGGAATTATAGAAAAACACGCGTGCGCCTGCAGATAAATGTTAACCTGTGAATAAAGTAGGACCTTACCCTGTTGCGAGGTTACGGTTTTCCCCAGCAGCTGCCTTCTCTCCTTAACCGGTACAGCGTGCCGAAGTTCCGTCGACCTTTGGCTGCATCCCCGAGAAACAGCAGACAGGGCTCAACCTCCCTATGCGTATGAAACACTGATTTACTCCCCTGAGTTTGAGCTTAATAAGAATCTCATATGGCTGCAGAGGTGCAGTCACTAAGGAAGTTTCCTTCTTGAAAGCCTTGTTCCTTTCACTCTCCTTAGTTTGAAAAATCTGCTGTAACTGAAGCAACGCACCCGAAATTCTCCACCCAGCAGCTAAAGTGACCTTAAAAAATATAAATTGGGTCCTGCCGTTCCCTCACTTAAAATTCTCCCGGTTTCCCGGTGCTGCCGTTCACGTGCAATCCTGATTCCTCTCTGATGGCCCTGTAACCTCGAGCCCTGACAGCCTCGCTATGTTCTCCAAACAAGCTGGTGTTTCTCCCACTGATGGAGGGTTTGGTTTTTCCCCTCAGGTCTCAGCAGAAAAGCCACGTCCTTAGAGAGGCCTACCTAGCCTCCCTGTCTGATATGTTCCAACATGCCTCCATGTGTCGTTAGGTGCTCTCAAGTCAATTCTGACTCATCGTGACCCTATAGGACAGAGTAGAACTGCCCCGTAGGGTTTTCTAGGCTGTCATCTTTATGGGAACAGATTGCCAGGTCTTTCTCACGTGGAGCCGCTGGGTGGATTCGAACCACCAAGTGTTTGGTTAGCAGCCAAGCGCTTAACCATTTTGCCACCAGGGTCCACAGCCGTCTTAATAAGTAATCTGTGGACCTGTGTGTTGCCTGTCCCTGCCACTAGAGGGCAGGAAGGTACCATTCCATGCGCTGAGTGTAGCCGGGTCGGCTTACCCCGCTCACTGCGCTTATGCTCAGTGAATGGATGCAGCGTCCACTTGTCTGTCCCGTGATTCGCCTCTCCCATGTCCTGCACATTCTGCTTTCTCGAGACGACCGAGTCTTATCTCTAAGGCCTTATTTAAACAGTTTTTTTTTTTTAATTCTCCTTTTTCAAGAAAGCTTTTATCCTCATTTTTTAACTTTGGTTTTTAAAATGATGTTTTTAATATCATTTGTTTTCCAATTAAAAATATAAGTATTTTAATAGCTGTTGTAACCTACTGCAGATAATTGTAAACCCAGCTTTGTCGAGTCATCTGTGATGTAGGAGAAGCGGAGGGCGTGTCTCCCACACTGTTTGTGCTTTTCATCCGTCTGTCCTTTCAGCCGAGGTTTGTCCAGGTCCAATCTCCGCTAAGTGTTATTTGTGGATAAAAACTGACTTTTCCCTAACAGGTATTAAAATAATTGCTTATATTTCTCATTAAACAGACCTTTCACGTGTTCCTTTCACATGTGCAGGCCTTACCTGGTAAACCTGTTGCCTTGCCTGACTCGAATAAGCAAGAGACCCGAGGAGTCTGTTCAGGAGACCTTGGCTGCAGCTATACCCAAAATTATGGCTTCCTTTGGCAATTTTGCAAACGACAATGAAATTAAGGTATGATCATTGCCTCAGGTCACAGCCATGAGAATGAGTGGCTCTCATGAGGAGTCAGGGCTTCGGGAAGGCAGTCCTTCTTGGCTTACATTGTGCTTCCTATTTTAGATTAAAATCATTTGAGTTATTTTGAGGCACACAAGAGCTGCTTTCAACTTCTTTCTTATTGCACATTGAGGGTTGAGTAGGGGGGTGGTTTATAGATGCAAACTCAGAAGGCATTTTTCCTGAGCAGACTGGTTCTTGGTGGACTGGATTCACTCCTTAGCCGGGTTTAGGACAGGGGCTGTGGGAGGGCTGCAGCTGGAAAAAGCCCGGGAGCACCCACACCCTGCAGCCTCGGACGCCAGGTCAGGGCCCACCTGAATTCCTGCTTGTTCTGCCCCCAGTAAGCAACTGTCAAACTTGCTTTAGTGTTTTAGTTATAACATCTAGAAACTGTGACCCCGTCATGTGGTCTGAGGCTACAGAACTCTTGGCCTCCTCCTTTTTTGTGGGTGAGGCCTGTGTTTGATCCTGAATAGCTCCCTGCGAGGTAGTGTAGTACAGTGGTTGGGCATTCTTTCTGGAAATAGGTGGACTTGGACTAAAAGTCTGCCCTGTTTACTAGCTTGCCCTTTTACAAATTACCTAACTGCCCTAAGCTTGTTTCCTTGCTTCCTTCTCTGAAATGGGAAATCAGCTGTTCCCACATAGGGTATTCTGAAAGTTGTATGAATTAATGCATGCAAAGAGCTTAGCAGAGGGCCTAGCTGACAGAAAGTGCTTGGTTGCTAGCTGCTGCTGTTGGTGTTAGTTGCATGACTTTGAATAAATTATTTAGTCTCTCATTTTTTTTCTCTGAGCTTTGCAGTTTCCTCGTTAATACTAAGGATACGTTAAAACCTATTTCATGGGGTTTTGGAATAAGTCGTCCTGGGAGTGTCCTTGCTGCCCTCCTGTTGGATGCCTAATTCCTGGATCCAATATCTTCATCTTTCTGGGCTTACTCCCTCCTTTTGGTGGAACACGTCCTCTAGTAGCTTCCTGAGAAAGGATGAATGGGAGGTGAACTGGTTGAGATTTTGCATTCCTAAAGATGCCTTTATTCCCCTCTCACACTGGGCCGGGTATGGAGTTCTGGGACGGAAGTCTTTCCCCCTCAGCATGTCAGAGGCTTTGCTCCATTGTCTTACTGTTTCCAGTGTTGCTGTAGGGAAGTTAAATGACCGAGTCCCTTAACCTTTGACCATGTTTTCCTCTGGAGCTTTTGATTTTAGTGGGTAGGGGAGGTGGAATGCTAGGTACTTGGTAGATTTTGTAATTTGGAAACTTATATTCTTTAGTTCTAGGAAGTGTTATTATACTTGGACAATTCCCTCCCTTTATTTTCTATTTCTAAACTGTGTTAAATATTGGCCCTCCTGGAGTGATTCACATTTTGGTTGTCTTCTATTTTCCCTTTCTTTTTCTCTGCTTTCTAGGAGCTGTCCATCTCAAACCCTTCTATTCAGTTTTTGTTCCTGCTGTTATGTTGCGAATTTCCGAGACCTCGCCCTTGTTTTCAGGATGTTTGTATTTTATGGCATCCTCTTCTGTTTCATGAAACCAGTGTCATACCTTTCTGAGGATACCGACTACAGCTTTCCTGACACCTTCTTTTGACCCTGTTTCCTTGGCTTCCTCTGTTCTGTTTGTTCTGGTCTTTTTTCCTTATGTGAGAGAGGCTATCCCTTTAGGTTTGAGTGAGACCCTAAAACATTGATTGGAAGCTAGAGTGTGGGCAAACCCTGTCATCTGACGGCTTCCTGGTGTGAGCAGTGGCGAGCCTACTCTCTTGTTGCTGGATCCTTTAAACGTCAGCATCTGTAAAGCTTTTTCTCATGAGCCAATCAGCGTCCGTATAGAAAAATTCTCCTGACTGGAGGCATGAGCTTGGCTGCGTATGTCCTGGGACCCTAGAATAAATGGGAGTCGATGGGCTCATTATTCAGAATGCAGACTTTTGCTTAGTTTCTCTGTTTTCCGTACGTGTCTCACATCTGTCCTTAGCGGTGCAAACCTTCCTGGAGATTGTCCCTCCCAGTCTTTGCTGGAGGTGAGAGGACACTGTGGGCTGCCTTGGATCGGGGAGGAGATGTGGGGTTGAGTGGTTGGGGGTCTGCACAAGGAGTGGTTAGGCCGGCAGCTGTTCCCATCCCCACAGCCACTCCACTTGGAGATGCATCTGGGGCCGCCCAAGCCTGAGCTTTCCTGGGAGTTCTGTGGCTTGAATAAGCTTGCTTTTTGGCAGCTAACCTTCTCACTTCTCCTCCCACTCCCCGGAAACGCTGGGGTTTGAGCTTCTCCCTGTGTGCTGACAACTCGGTTCATTACTGCTTATTTACTTCCCAGCTTCTGCAAGTTTGTTGATGCCCTGCCCGCTGTCATCCCTGCCCTGTTTGTTCTGTCTGTCCTTTGAAGGGTCAGGCTTTGTAAAACTCCTTTACATGATGTCAGTGGGGCTTCTAGGTAGCAGAGGTTCACGTGTTCAGTTCAGCATGTCTGCCCAGAAGTCCCCCAACCTGTGGTGTGGTCTTGTTCTCCTGCAGGTCAGTGGGGCTCTGTCTGCTCTGAGTGGATGAGACTCCATAGAGCACTGACTTTTTTTTAACTGGTGCATAATGTACCTACGGGAGGTACATAAATCAGGTACATTAATGAATGATCACAAAGTGAATTTGCCCTTGTAACCACCACCTAGGCCAAGAACTAGAATGTCACCAGGACCCTGGAACCTCCTCATGCCCTCTCCCAGGCACAACTCCCTCCTTCCTCCCCAGAGATAACCACTGCCTTGGCTTCTGATGCCACAGAAAGTCTGTCTGAATTCTGTGTTTGTAGAGCCGCGTAGTTTGTCTGGTTTCTTTGGCACAACCTTTAAGCCTGTGAGATGCTTCTGTGCTGGTGTGCGTGTTAGTAGTTAGGGTGGGTTTCACAGCTGCGTACTATGCCACCGTGGGACTGCCCGTTAGCCCGTTGCATTGTAGCTGAACATTTGGGTTGTAGACCCAGGACTAGAAAATTCTTAACTACTATGAATACAGCTGCTGTGAACATTCTTGGATGTGTCTTTTGGAGCACATGTCTGTCTGTCTTGCGGATACCTAGAAACGGAATTGCTGGGTTAGAGGGAATGTGTATTTCATCGTTAGTGGGTATTGCCAAGAGGGTCTCCTGAGACGTGGGACCGGTTTCCGTCTCCAGCAGCGGTGTGTGAGGACTCCACGTGCTCTGCACCCTTGCCAGCACTGGGAGTGGCCGGTCCTTGTAGGTTTAGCCATTCGGGGGAGTATGTACAGGAATCACATTATGATTTTAGTTTCCATTTCCATTCCGTAAAGCACTCTTGACTCTAAAGTTTTATGATCGATGCATCTTTTCCTTTTTGAAGTTCTTTTAAAAACGTCATACTTATGTTTGGAAAAATGGAGCCGTCTGCCCTAAAATATAGTATGCGTCCTCCTTCGCCATTATGGGAAGCATTTAAGCGTGGCCTGTGTACATCTGCCAGCTCCCTTTAGAGGGAACTTCTTGGGGCTGTGGGGAGTTGGACCTTATAAGGGCCCCTCGAGCTCTCAGGTTTAATTTTATCATTTATATTCCAGATTATTTACCACGGGCTTACTTTTCATAACAATGCTTAGCTTTTCATCGTGCTTATAAGTTTGAACCAGGGCTTTGAATCGGTTCATTCTGTCATGACCCATTGAGGATTTGCATGTCTAACAAGTTCCTTGCTGAGAATTTGCATTTCCACACCAGATACACTGAATCAGATTCTACATTTTAACAAGATCCTTAGGTGATTCTTAAGTATAACTTCCTGGGAACTTGTTAGACATGCACATTCTCAGCAGGGGGTCAAATTGGAATGAACTGGTTTGAAGCCCTTGTTTGGACTTCTATGGAATGATTCTTACTCTGCTTTTGCAGTGATATGTGAATTTTTTCACTCCAGGGAGTTCTTTAAGATGCCAATATCTTTTTTTACAGCTAAAAATTTGTCAGAGATAGGTTGACTGAGTTCTCCAGGTGGTATCTTGGGGAGGAGCTGGAGGCCACAAACCATCAGGGGGTCATGTGGTCATGGGTCTGGTTTTCCACCACGCAGGCTCCAGAGGTTTGATGTGTGGATTTGTTGGGAATTGCTAAGTCTCTGAGAACCAGGTTGTACTGCCCACGCTGTGCCAGGGAAGCACAGTTACCAGCCAGATGCCAGGTTACTAGGTCTTGGCCCACTTGCCAAGGTCACACCCAGTGGCAGGGCCTCGCCTGGTCCCGCTCACAGTCGGTGATGCTCAGAAAAGCAGGGCACAGCCAGGAGAATGGCCGGGGGTCTCAGGTGATAGAGTCACCACTCTAGCGGAGAGCGACGTCACCCTTTCCACCCTTCGGTTGTCTCTGTGGGGATGTGAATGACCGTTGTTAAGGTCACCGTAGCCCCTGCTCCTTTGGGCTCTCCTGGAGGTCGGTTTCTCAGGGGCACCGTGGTGCTGAGTAGTGCGCTGTCATTGCTCGGCTGGGTCGTAGGTGTTTTCCAGATACAACTTCTGAGAACATCTCTGGTGGCGTCAGCGGCACGTTCACCAGCTGCTCGCAGGCCAGGACACCACTGTCGTTGGCTGGGGCTCCTTTCTCCTCAGTGTTGTTCTTTGTTGATTTTGTTTCCCGCCTTTATTTTACGAAGCGTCGTGTGACTGACCTTGTCCCCAGAGGTCGTGGGTCCACCTTGTCTAGAGCTGAGGCTTCCCTCACACAAGGACAGTGATGCTGAGTGAGTCCCCCAGCGCAGGTTATGGAGAAGGGGATAGACTGTGCTCAGGCACAGCCCTCAGCGCAGGTTATGGAGAAGGGGATAGACTGTGCTTACCCACAGCCCTCAGCGTAGCTTACGGAGAAGGGGATAGACTGTGCTCACCCACAGCCCTCAGCGCAGGTTACGGAGAAGGGGATAGACTGTGCTCACCCACGGCCCTCAGCGCAGGTTATGGAGAAGGTATTAGACTGTGCTCACCCACAGCCCTTAGTGTAGCTTACGGAGAAGGGGATAGACTGTGCTCACCCACAGCCCTCAGC